GGAAGGGTTTCAAATGTGTGTGTTTATGTGTGTGTGCTACTCCTTGGTGAAATGTTGTGAATAGTGGAGGTGGAGGAGTCGCGGGCCGCTGATATTGATGCTCTGCTGTGAAAAAGGTGTTTTTTTTTCGACGGCGCTGGAGCGGTGAGAGCACCACGCTGTAAACGTTACAGCTGGGTGAGACAGGTGGTTTCTTTGACTGGGAGATGTTTGGCTGTGACACAGATTGCAGGTTTGAAGAAGGAGGGATTGTTGGCCAACTGGAGCCGGAGGGGGAACATCTTTGCATCGCTTTAAGAGCAGCGCGGGGACATTTGTCATGTTGGTTTCAAAGAGTGAGAGTGAATTAATGAACACCTGATGCAAAGTTTTAATTACATTTTTACCTTCGGCGATGTGGTTTCAATGAAATAAATAAAAAGACATCTTTTAAGGCGGTGATAACTTTGTGTTCATCACAGATACAGACAACATGGCGCCAATTTAGCCGAGCGGTCGAAGCTTGTCCTCATCTGTGGCTCAATTCTCAGCCATGGAACATATTTCCTGACTTTCTTTAGCTGTCCCACCAAATAAAAGCAAAAAATAAGGGGTTTTCAACATTTTCAAAGTCACAAGTAACAAGTCAGTGTATTCGCAAGGTGAGCCGCTATTATCTGCAGACAGGGCCGACTCTACCGTGTAATTTAGCTAATTTTTAGCCACTCTGGCCCGAGTACTCATTGCGCTTTAAGTGTTCCCTCTACCCAGACATTTTTCAGCTCTTTGCCATCAGGAAGCACATCTGTGAGATTGTCCCCATCTTCTCCTCAAGGTTTTTTTTCTACATATGAAACACTTCTTTCAATCTACGAATGCAAAACTTACGATTCTTGGCAACAGCACTTGAATGAGTTTGTGGAAAAAACAACCAAAGACGATAAAAACAGTTTCTTCACAGAGCTCTCTGATTCTAAAAAAGTTGTGATGCTTTGGGAACAGAAACCATCAGATCATCAGCTCTGGACCAGATCTTTAACGTCTCCATATGTCCTTTCTGTAATCGCGAAAAAATGCGACAGATCTTCTACACGGCTGAATCTGTCTGAACAAGAATCAGTCTTTTATTTTCTGTTTGATGTGTTAGTCAAACAGAGATGAAGCCCGGTTGGACGGCCGTTCCTCTAACAGGTCGGTGGTCTGACTCTTTCTGTCAAGAGTTCTTAAGAGCGTTTCCTTCCTCAGAAGTGATTCACAAATGTCAGCTCCACAAGTATCAAATCCGAGACACTGAGCAACGTCAGACACTGTATAAATTGTCTTTAAAGACCCACTCCGATGAAAATCGTGTTCTTCTTGTTGTCTACATGAGAAAAGTAAGGGTGAAATTGCGTTTATAAACATTTCTGCGTTCAAATCGCTGTGACTCTCTGGCAGACCCAAACAGCAGACTCAGAGGCAGTGAGATTTCCTATGTCACAATTCCTAGCTCCGCCCCATAAGCCCCACTATGCAGGCAAGACTCGGAAAAGTAAAGAGGACGATCACGGAACAAACGTGTGGGTTAGCGGATTGCAATGCTTGTAAGAAAGCTAATAATGATATTAACTTTCATCATGTCCCTAAAGACATTAGTGTCCAAGAGCTGAATAGCTTCTATGTTACCTGCTACTGCTTCCACACTGGCAATGTTAGGCTACAAGCTAGCAAGAAGAGGAGTGTGTAGAGCAGCACTGTCTCCACCCACAACTCAGAGGTGAATTGCTAATGAGCTACTGGAGCTTTGCAAAGAAAAAGCCCTTGAAAATGTTCAATTTGGCACCCCCTGTGGTCAAAGAAGTACCTGTTTCATTGTTCAGTTTGTCTTTTTTTCAACAAAAATCTCACTTTGCTTCATTTCAACCCTAAAAAGTTAAAGTCTTACATAAAAAGACATATTTTAAATCACCTATTCTGACTGCGTATAGCTTATCGTACCACCATCTTTGAGTTGTTTCAGACGTTAAAAATAACGACAATCTTTACGCTAATGGCCATGTTTGCTTTACAAGGTCATAAATAATTTCAGCTAAAAACTCCTCACAGGAGCTTTAACTTGTAATAAAAAAAGCTAACCATTATATAAATGACGCCTTTTTAAACCAGACAAATCAAAGTATTGATTGTGCCGGTGGTTCAGGATGAATAACAGTAAAATACTCTTTTATTATTGAGGTTAGACTTCCTCCTCTTCTGCCTGATAACCCTCTGCGTTTGCTCTGAGTACAGTTAAAAGTCTGACTCACTCTCACATTAAACTGAGCGTTGTGTTTACAACGTGTCAGTGAGGAAAAAAACAAAACTATTTTCTCAATCTGCTTCACATTTCAACAGAAACTTGAATTCTGCTGCCGTCGTCTTCAAAGATTCCCTCTTATCGTCCCAAACAGACGGAGAGCGTCCTCTCAGAGCGCTCTGTTTGTTTCCCTGCGACCTCTACATATTTGAAACATTTCGCTCTTTAAGGAAACCGCTCAGTATCGCTGTTTCTGCGGAGGGGACAACAAAGTAAATGACAGCATCCATCTAGAGAGGCTTAAACTCCCTCCACCCCCTCCTGGTCCCTGGAGACGTTTGTTTTTTTTCTCTGTCTATCTTTGAAAACCTGAATTTATGAGAGCGATTCCTCCACTCTCTTGTATGTTTGTGTTTTGGTGTGATAGACAAAATTCATCATCATATGGGGGTAAACAGGGTGTGGATTAAAAGCAGTCACTCAGAAAAACACAGATTACATTTTTTTACAGCTTTTTTTGTCTGTTTAATACTGAAATACAAAAACAAAACACAAAAATGTCATTAATGTTGCAGGAAAAAATGAATTTGTGTTTCTTATCCCTCCCATAACACAATATTGGACGTCTCACTTAAATTTTTTTAAATATATTTTTTTCTTCTGTTTTTCTGAATACTTTTTTTACTTCGTTTTTTTTTTTGTACAAGTACTTTTCCCCCTCTTTCTGTTTTTTTGGACTAACAATTAGTTATGTATATGTAATGTATATATATAAATAAATAAAAAATAAATAAAAATCTAAAAAAATGGAACAAAAATTCTGAGAAACAGGGAAAAAATTCCAAAAAACAAAGGGAAAAAAATAGTCCAAAGATCAGAACAGAAAAAAGTTACTCTGAAAAACAGAGGTGCTTTTTTTTTTTTTTTGGTGAATACAATACGCTTCTGTAAGATTTAATATATTTTGATGTCTCTATAAAAGAAAAGTGAAATCACAACATACACAACATTAACTGTAATTGCTCAACTCTCACACATCAACTTAAAGCTCCTGTGATGGAAAAACTGCATATTTGTGTCATTTTTGGCGCCCCCTTGTTGACCAAACAGTGCCTCTAATCTTAGACGAACTAAATCTTGTGTATGTGTAGATGGTGAAACATTTCAATGCATTGAAAGAGTGAAAAAATCTGCCTTTTCAAGCTTTAAAAAACACTATTTAGAAGTTTTCGCTCTTGTAGCTGATGGTTTGATTTCTTTTATAGCTCATTAGCCATTAAGCTTTAAGCCCCGCCCACAAGACCAGAGGTTCAGGATCAATGTGTAAAAATATTTAAAGTGCCAAAATGTCCAACAGTGGCTCTAAGAAGTGAGGAAGAAAATCACCTTTATGGAAATAATCAGTCTCGTCACTGATGACCTTGTCCTTGCTTTTGAAGGTCATAAAGACACATCAGTATTACAGTTAGTAAACCGATCAGATTAAAAAACTGCTTTTGCTGAAGCTCCAACAGTTTTTATTCTCGTTCATGATCGTGTTTCTCCTAATGGATCCATTTAAGCCAAATTGTTTCTCTTTATTCTCCTGCAGCATCTTTTTTTTATCAGGTTACATTAATTATCTACGATCACAATATCCAGATATCAGAGGATAAATATTACATCTTCCTCGGCATGTTTTTATTTGTTAAAAAAATTGCTCTTTTCGTTTCACTTACACAGACTTCTTCCTCTGATTTGCATTTACAAATCTATTTTGACTGTGAGTCATTTTGAATCTTATAAAGCTAATGATCTTTTCATAACAGAGCGGGTTCCTCTTCTCCAGTTTCCTCCGTTTCTCCCTAACGAGCTGAATGTTGTTTGACAGAGTTTTTTGCTTTTCTTCTTAGAAAGCTGGAGCTGGATTTTTTTGTTGATGTTAAGTGCAACGTGAAACTCTGCATGGGACGAATGTGGTAATGTCTCTGCAGACCTCCACACACATGGACACAATGAAGCCTCAGAGCTCTGCAGTCGTGTTTTTCTTGTAACTTTAGTTTTTACACAATGACTTGGTTCATGTCTTGATCTGCAGAAATCAGTCTTGGTTTTTATAAACATTTCCTAATATTTTAAGAGTTTAAAGTTTAATGTTTAGACTCTGAATGAAAAGTTAAGTTCAAGGTGAGTTTATGACCTGTAAGCTGCTGCACTGTTGTAGAGGAAGCTCTCATCTTTTATAGTTCAACCTGAAGGACTGTTTGGACTCTTGTACGTGTTTGTTAACTTTCCTGAGAAACTTTAAATCAATCATACTGATATGAATCTATCCCGAGTGTGATCCTGATGTTTGAGAAAGAGGCAGAAAGCTCCTAAACTCTCAGCTTCTCCTGCAAAGATCTCTTTGCAATGGCTGTGATTAACCACGACGCAGCTGAAATAACTAACCACACACAGCCAAAACTACATGATACTAGGAAAGCAGAGTGATAATTCTACCAAAAAAGGCACAATATCAATAAAAAAGAGGTACTTCTTTGTCCACAGAGGGCGCCAAAGAGTCACAAACTAAAAGTTCCAAACAGTAGCTTTAATTGAATCTACAATATTACCACTAAAGAGCAGTGGAGTTATGATAATAATAATACTAATGAGAAGAAAATGAAGAAAAAGAAGAAAAGAGAGAAGAACTTTATTTATATGATACTTTTAAAAACATCAGTTTACAAAGTGCTTTTAATGCAGAATAAATGGATTTTAACAGCAGAGGAGAAATAAAACATATAACAAATACAAGGGTAAAAAATACTAAAATAAAAGCATTGAAAATATGTGGGATGGTAAAATAAAAATAAGCAAACCAAAAAACAAATGAATCGATAAGTGACTTAATTGATAGTAGGGGGTAATTGTACAAAAATTTGAAAACTCTACTTCAAAAGTTCTGTGAGTTATAGGCGCTGAAGCTAAAAGATATCACAACCATTCCAATATCTGGAGTAATAATAATAATAATAATAATGATAACAATGATAACAATAGTGGGATAAAAATAAACAAAACAATGAATATAAGAAACAAAAAGTAAATAAGGTTATTAATGACTTAACTGATAGCGGGGGAGACCGGGGATGGCTGTTACATGCTATGCACTTCACCAAACGGGGTAACATCAGAGTCCCATCATCATTTCACAGTTTCTGAATCTTTTGGCTATTTGTTACTACTAACCCCAGCACGGGTTCGAGGGGTTGGTTGCACCAGAGAAGCTCCCTGTTTTTGACACGTGCTTTAAAAAGTTTCCAAAACTCTTACAGATGATTTAATTATTTCCTTTTGTAGCAAACAAATGTAGGTAATTTGTACAAAAATTTGAAAACTCTACCTAAAAAGTTCTGTGAGTTATAGGAGCTGAAGCTTAAAGATGTCACAACCATCCCCGGTCTCCCCTATTATGTAAACGTGTGTTTTACAATAATCTGTAATAATCCCTGATTATCACAAAGAGGCTGTCAACTTTAATCTACAACTGTTTTTCTTTTTATTTGACTACACCCGGATAAAGACAGAGGCACGTGCTCAAACAGGAACGAGCGGCAGGTGTCAGCAGAACACACCCAGATTCCTCCGCGCGCACAGGTATGCGGAGAGTGTGTGAGTGTGTGTGTGTGTGTGTGTGTGTGTGTGTGTGTTTACAGCTTCACTATTACGGCTCGAGTCCTCTTGGTGACGCTCTGCTGACATCACTCTGATATTCCCCACTCAGCTCTCCGCATCGCGCGCACACACTGCACCGACTCTCTCTCTCTCTCTCTCTCTCTCTCTCTGTGTCTCTCACACACTCACACACTCCTCCGTCCGTCCTCCCGTCCGTCCACACACACACTTTTTCGCGCACTCACAAGGACGCACGAGCAGCCGCGGGCTACCTGTGCCAGTGCGGCCGGCCCACTCGGGGAGGGGTTTCACTCTTTTCCTGTCATTAACCCACAGAGAGGAGCGAACACGGTCCAGGTTTTACACGGACATACACTCTCGCACACACACACACACACACGCACACACACTCACAGACCGTAGAGGGAACAGAAGCAGTAAGTTGGGTGGTTTAACGCGCGCGGGTCTGAACTGATCTCGAAGTTTCTGATCGGTGAAGGAATACTTTGGAGCCCGGTGTCCCCCCCACGCAGCGCGGTTGTGGATATTGGCGATATGGCGAGAGATTACGGAGCCCGCTGTCCGCTCTCTCTACTGGGGAAGACTTGGCTGGTGGTGTCGGCGATCCTCCTCGCAGCTCAAGGTAAGACGAAACCGACCGGAGCGGTGTCTCCACGCTCACCAAACCCCGTTCACATTCCCGGCACTTCCACCCTCCGCGCTCCCGGAGTGAGTGCGGCCGGACCTGAGCACTCCCAGCCGCGCCTCCTTCGCCCTGGGAGTGCTGCAGGTTCCTCCGGCTCTACCTCCTCCTGTCCGAGCTGTGTTAAAAGTTTATTGTCGGTGTTGACTGCTTTATATGTGCGTTTGTGTACGCCATGATTACGCGAGGTGTGGCTCCCCCCCTCATTTGTGCTTTTTTGTCCTAATTCCACGCAGCTTCAGACGGCAGGTGACTGTTCAGGAAATCTAATCCTCCCTGAGCCGCTACAAACCCTTCATCCCACTCGGCTGACCTGTAATCTGTGTTTACCTGGCGTAGGGGGAAATAGGGCGCATTGTCAGAGAGCGCAGGTGTGATTCCTGACATAAGAGGAATGGGAGAAATTGGTGCTTGGTCTGCAGAGGAACAGTGGAGCTGAAATGGGAGCAAGGTCTCTCATAAGGAAGAGGGCATTTGTCAGCCCTGTGCTCTTCAGGTGGCCCTTTACACCGAGAGTGGAGAGCTCTTAATGAATAACCACTACAGGCTGAGATCCACACTATAGAGGGGGAATCTCAGCGTTTCACCTCTGTTTCTACATTATTCATGATCACTGTGGAAAACAGACATAAGGAGATGGAGGCTTACGGACTCCTGATTGATATGGTATTGATATTCAGATTGGCTGTTTGAAACAACAGTGGTTTACAGTTGGATTCTGCTTATGTGCTAATATGATTCGGAGGTACGAGTGGCTCTCCACATTCAAGCAGTATTAAATAATCCTGCTGGCTTGAAGCTACGAATTGATTATTTATAAGGTGTTGTTCATTTTAAAGGGGTATTCCGGCGTAAAATTATGTTAGAGTCAAACACAGTAACACCGAGTTAGACACCACCTCAAGAGATGAATGTTGACGACGGCTTGCTTCTCTAGTTTTACCAATTTTAGTAACGACCACAGATAGCGATACAAAGAGCCACGTGCTCAACCAAAACGCCACTCTATAGCCACAAATAATGCTCAGAACAGCACCTAACTTCATCAACAGGACATATAGGGTCACAGCCAGAGTACTAGACACCAAACATCTTTTTAACTTTGCCTGATTTCTTTAGCAAAGAGACTAAACACAACTCACCTACTCTCTTCCAACAAGCCGTTTGTTTGTAGCAAGACCTCAGGCCAGTCCATTATGGACTACAGCGGAGTTTCACAGCTCAAGGAAGAACATTTATGATCATTTCTTCATGGAAATGCGATCAGACCGAGACGCTAAGGCAGAAGAACTACATGATTAATATGATGATTTTTGGTGATGATGTTTGGTGGCGTGTACAATGGCTGGGACCCTATATGTCCTGTTGATGAAGTTAGGTGCTGTTCTGAGCATTATTTGTGGCTGTAGAGTGGCGTTTTGGTTGAGCGCATGGCTCTCTGTTTTGCTATCTGTGGTTGTTACTGAAGTTAACTAGAGAAACAAGCGCTCGGCAACAACCTAACCTAATTTTACACCGGAATATCCCTTTAAGCAGCATTATAGTAATCATGCTGGCTTAAAGCTACAAATCAATTATTTATTAGGTGTTGTAAATTTTAAATGTTGTGTTCTTTAAATCATCAGTAAGTCTTTAAGTTTGTGTCTGACATTATAGTCTCAGAGTGTGGTGTATGTTTGGACATCCTCTGAATCCGCCTCTACAGAGTGTCTAATGATACTGTTCTGTGATTCAAGGGGGGCTTTGGCCACCCATAGTCCCCCCTTGGATCCAGCCCTGGTGAAAAAAAAAACACAGAAGTGACCAAATTGTAAATATTTGTTGAGTCATTATGAAACAGTTTAAACTCATGACTCTTCACTCATTTTTATCAGCCTGAAGTTTTTCTTTCATTTCCTTTAAACTCTGCTGCAGAGATTTGCTTTCAGCCGACGTTGATAGTTTCCTCCTCTGATATCAGCATGATTCATGTTCTGTCTGCACAATGAGAAAAAGAAAGGGGAATTTAAAGGGATATTAACCAATTTTTTGCTGGTTTACTTATTTTAAATGTAGATCGATAATCAGAGATGTGCAGCAAGCCAGTGTCAGCTGATCTTGTAACTTTTGCTAGTGCATAGTAGGGCTGGGCGATAAACTGAGAATTTACAGATACAGAAATTTACGACAATATCTGACGCCATCAATCAATCAATCAATCAATCAACTGTAAAAAGGAGGGAATGTGGGAGGGGGTGAGCAGCTTGCGGAGTAGTTATTGTCCATTTATCATTATCGAGGTGAACATCTCGATTTATCGTGATATTGGTTTGAGGCCATATCGCCCAGCCCTAGACATACTAAAAAATGCTTTTATAGGAGATGAAAAGAACCTCTTTTAATGTCAGTTTGGGGATTTTAACTCTATCCTGGTTGGAGTTTTTTGCACTGGAAATGGCGTCACCTTTCGGCAGCAATCTTGAGGCTGGAGACAGAAGTACTCACTTCTAACAGGTTGTATGTGTTTGTGTGCGTGTACAATTGCCGGCGTGCACTCCCGTCTGTGTAAGATACAGTGTGTACATTAACGGTTAAAGAGAGTGCAGAGGCAGAGGAGGTGTGAGCAGGAAATTTTAAGGCGAGTTGAAAGATGAAGTCAAACAAACATCCTGCGTCAAATATCTGATGAGACAGAGGTCACGGTCAGGAATCTGCACTATCATGTTTATACCGCTCTTTAAGTCCAAGGATAAACAGCATAAATATCTCCGGCCTGATGAGTCTCATACTCTGTAAGCTGATGCGTTTCCGTCCCCTAATATCGACTCACGCTGTCATCCCGCTGATATCAGTCGAGCTGGGGGACGTGAAGTTCCTGCAAAGTGATGCAAGCTCGATGCAACAGACTGTAGTCGAAGTTTTGAGGTAAAAACACTTATAAATGTCTGGCAGGTTATTTGTTTTTATTTGTTTTTTTTGTGAAACTTGGAAAGTCACTCCCACACACTATCCCTCCTGCAGCACAGAAAGTTTAATGTTGACGCTGTTTGGATTCTGATACAAAGAGTTTTAAAGGTTTCTGATGACTAATACTGATGCATTATAAAAACACAATAATAACCTCACTCTGAACTCGCTAATGCAGTCTCTTGGATGGAGTATTGAGCAAATATTACACCGTAAACAAGAAGAGATACCAATAAACTCGCTTGTGATTTCCATAGCAACGCTCCATGTCCCCATGAGAGCATTACAGTGATGGATATGGAGATAAGCACAAACTGTGAATGTCTCTAAAATGCACCGCTGAGTAACGCAGACGTGTTCGAACTCCCAGCAGAAAATACTTTCCGATGTTTTTTTCCCCCAACTGGGACCGGATACAAACTCAGACCAGCAGGCTGTTGAGCTCCACTGATCGTCTGACGAACCCTCAAAGCTGCTCCGTCAGCGTGAATCTGTCAACCTGTTGTTTTCACCTCAAAATCGTCACCAGGGAAAAGGCTCCAGGGTTCGAGGGCGAGCTTTTCCAAGGCTGCAGAGGATGTTCTCTGAGCATCTGCTGCATGATAGACGACGAGAACGTCAGGTGTGATTGTGAGGCAGGAGGACGATTTTCTCCTCAATTGAAATTTTCCTTTTGTTATGACACTCTTTCTTCCCTGCATAGTTGTAAGTCACGGGAAGAGGAGAACCCGGGTGTAGTGGCGCCGCGGTGCAGCGCAGGTTGGTGCGAGGATGACAGGTACTCAGCCGGGACTCTGCTGCAACAGGCCTGTATTGTTAAAAAGCTGTCAGGCTGTCTTGACAGTTTCCCCACAGGTTATGAATTAATTCCAACGTGCAACAACACAATCGTCTTTTCGGAGGAGGGAAAACTTTCACACTCAGATTTCTGAGTCACAGACGCTTCTTTTCCTGGATCGCGCCTAAAAGAGTCGGAGTCAGATTTTTAATGATTTCTATCAGAGACATCTGAAGTTGAAGCGCTGAACTCTCGCTGACTTCGCTTACATCAGGCATGCTGTCGGATAGTGTGTGATGGTGTAAGGCTGAAGAAGAGGACGAGCTGTTAATTAAACATGGAGTCATGCTTGGAAATGAGCAGAAAATCTGATGTAATTTTTCGCCATTATATGCCGATCATTCGCTACTTGCCCAGGACTGTGCTCTAGCTAGGGGTGTCCCGATACAACTTTTTCACGTCCGATACAATACAGATATTGTAGCTTTCAGTATTGGCTAATGTAGTGTCTAATGTAATATGATAATGTAGCTTTCAGTATTTGTTGATACCAATATTGCACATGGAAAGTTTTGCATTCAACTGCAACGTCTTTTTCGGACTTTAACGAACAATAATACCACACGGCCGACATCACTCCTACTCCTTGCTACTTTGTTAGTATCTTAGTACACACTGTTGTTGGGATTATGTGGGCTCTGCATGCTAGCTACAGGTGCTGGAGTGGAGTCTGGAATGGACTGCTTGTATCGGAGTGCTGATATTGGAGATCTTAGATGCAGGCCGATATAATCCGATTTTAGTTTTTTCTTTTTTTGCTGATATTGGACCGATATCCGATATCAATATTGGATTGAAACATCTCTAGCTCTAGCCTTATGCTAACAGATAGCTTCTCTTGTGTTAGTTCATTAATCTTTCCAGATTAGTGTTTGTGTTAAGATCATATGTGTCGTATAATATGCAAAAACTAAAGACACACACGCCGTATCAAAAAAAATCGATACAGCATAGTATCGTGATATTTTGTCTGGTGATATATCGTATCGTCTCATCCACCAAGTATTGATTTTTTCAAATTGCTTGCTAATATCAACTCAATTCTATGATAATGGAGAAATAAAATCACTCAGAGCAGGAAGAAGTTAGTACAACAGACAGTTTGTAAGATGTGCTTCATGAAAATAAAATATTGAGTCAATAAGACAAACATAAGGGAAAGACAAACGCTAAATCAGCTAAGCAGTTGAAAAAATTTTATAAATTGCAATATATAGTATTGCAAAATGTTTAAAATGGCAATAACATCGAATAGTGGTCCAAGTATTGTGATGATATTGTATCCTGGGACCACTTGTGATTCTCATCCCTACTTCTTATCGCTCTAATTCTTCCTAAAGCTTCTTTTCCATGTTGCTTACTTTGCAAAAGTTACAGAGATGAAAAAGTCGGAGTAAAAAGTTTGACAGACACCCACAGCGAGTCTTCAGAGGCAGAGGTAGTTTCATGTAATTGAAAAGGCCTGGAAGGGTATTTACTTCTAAGCCGATTAAAGACGCACACACCTCTCATTTTACAGTTTCACGAGTTTGAAGGAAATAATGCTGACGCTGTTTGTCGGGGGGAGGGAGGAGACTGACACTTACTATGTGTGTACTGACTGATTGAGAGTTTAACCTCCAATGATATAAGATAAAGACGCATGTGCTTTTCCTATGATCATGACGTTAGCGTCTCTTAAAACTGATGTTTACTCTTCCACACGACCACAGTCAGAGTTTTTAAAATGCTCTACTGTCGAAGGTGTTTTTAAAGTTTCTGTTTCAGTGACTCAGGGATCGATACTCAGAGAAAAAGGCTGTTTTTTCAGTGTATCCACATACGTATGGATGAGGACTCGGACGCCCCGGGTTTCTTCTCTCTCTGTAGATCCTAAAAAAAAGAAAATAAAAAAGCGTTTTAAGAAGGAAAAAAAGGTTCTCATAGAGGTCGACCTGATTTCCTCCGAGGTCAAACCCGTGAAACTTGAGCCGGGAAGTTAAAGAGTGCCGTTTTAACCTTCAACGAGTCGTACAAAGTGGATTTAAGAGGATATCATTCCACAGCAATGATAATTAAGTCACTTCAGGCCCCCCACCCCCTGTCTCTCTCCTGTATTCGTCTCTATAGACCCGATCCGGTGCTGAAATGTCAATGATGATGAGCCCCCTCGACGGCTCGGCGGAGACGAAGAGCTGATTAGCTTATCACTTGGAGAGCAGGCGGCCGATGATTATCGCCCTCACAGCGGCGCCGCCTGATTATCGAGAGCTCTTATTAATGACTCATCGTCTGCGCTGTGTGCTGTTTGTTGTTTGTATAATTGTGTAGCTGGTGGCGGAGCTACAGTTCGGGCCCTGCGTTCGGGTTCGACTGTTTTGGGAGAGCCGAGGAATGATGACTTTGTGCCTTTGAGCGTGAACCCCCCGAATAAAAACCCTGTTTTTGTCTTCGGCGGTCAGGCCAGAATAAAAAATGAAACCTAATAAAGTCCCCTGGTGGAGTTTCTGCTGCTGAATTAAAAACCAGAGACAGTTTACGGCTGTAATAAAGCGCACACACTCCTAACAAACAAGCACAGGGTTCAAAACACTCCTCACCCTGAACAGGTGGTTGTGTGCTTTTGGCCTTTGGGGTGAAAAACACAATTATTTGAATTTTTCTCTTCACAGGATGTTTTAGTTGATTAATTATTGGAAAAGCCCAGAGGCTGAAAATCTCCCATTATTTCCAAGCAAAGGGCGGTTTGAATAAAAATGCCTCTAATTTTCTCACTTTACCGAAACAGATTTGTTTCCCACTTTGCATAAATCCCATTTTAACCCTGACCCCGGGGTCGAAGCCGAGTCTGAGCCTTCACGTTTTTATCAATGAGCGTGTAGCGCGGAGGCCTGCAGGGGCGGATCGCTGACGGACTAAATGTCAAGGAGTGTGTCTCAGGAGAGGTGATCTTATGAGTGTGTGTGCAGGAGGCGTTATTGTTGGCTTGAGAGCTGATCATTGGTGTGATCGCCGGGTTTAAAGGTCAATGACAGTGTTAAGTAGCTGGCGTTTTAAACCACGATACAGCCATTCGCCGCTCCCGCGAGCTTCCAGGACCTCAGAAACAGACGAGCCAAACGTTAATTGGTGGTCAGTTGTATCTGATCGTCCCTAATGTCTCGGGGTATTGAGTTTTCTTTCCGCTTGGATGCTTGTTTATGAGGAACTTTGTAAACTGTATTTATAATGTATTTTTCCCCAAAATGAGCTTTAAAGGCATGAAATGGAAGTCATAAAAGCTGCATTAAGAGAAGAAGAAGAAGAGGGAGCGAGGGTAAAGAGGTACAATAACTCATCCATGTTAAATGAGACGATGCTTATTTAATGAAATCATAAAATAAAGATTGAACTTTTTAATCTGAGAGCAGCGGCATTAAAAAAACACACACAGGCTGCAGTCACGCAGGGGGCCAGAAATGAGCCGCTCGAGGTCCCGACCCGCGTCGAGCCGGGGCTCAAATGTCAATGGCTCTTCCTGGTGAGGCATAGGGCGATAATCTTCCCGCGAGAGCGGCGCGGTGACGCTCGCTGAGAGCTTATTAATGACTCACGCCGACACAAACTGCTCAGCGGAGCTCCCGGCTGCTTGTGTTAGACCCGTTTGTTTGTCGTCGTCTGGGTTGGCGGGTGTTTGTGTTGTGGTGATTCTCATCCAAAAAAAGCAGAAAATCACATCCTCCCGCTGTGAGACAAGAACGGTTTCTCCCTTCTTCATTCTCGGCCTTTTTTCACTCGTTCAAAGACAGAGTTGAACACGATGTTGCGTCACGTTTGTTGTGATCTGTTTTCATGTTCGAGTTTGTCTCTTTATTTTTTTAAAGTAGTGGCCTTGGAGGTTTTTCATCGATCATGGATTAAAATGTTATCTTTTTTTAGGGTTGATGGATGATGTATTTTTGTGTTGCAGGGTCTTGCATAATGCTGTTTGTATGTTTTTGTACCGACTAAATACAAACGCTCTTCGCTGAGTTTTGATTGAGTCTGAGAAATGGTCCAGGGAAGTCCAGGAGAGCGCACCAATTCTTTATCAAAAAAGGCAAGATTTGTGCGTTGCCATGACTACCAGGTGAAAGCTGATTCTTGCCCTAATTGAGGTTGATATTCAGCATTCGGTCTATTACCTGTATCGACTTTTTAATGCACAGGTGGTCCATAAATTTAACGAAGGAATGTTCTACTTTGGCTCCTGGGTCTGTCTTCTTACCTAACATCACGCCAACGACTGTGTCTGATTGGCTGACGCCGCCCGACCTCCTGACCCAACTGTAACAGGAATTTGTACGTTTAAGTGCTTGAATATTTTGTGTTTACGCGTTTTATGCATGCTAATGACCCGCTCCACTTTCACGTCTACATTCACACACACTTTTGGGGCGCTCACACCAAGCGTGAGTAGAATCATCTACTCGCTTAATTCGCGCGAATCTAGATGCATGACTGAATAGTATTTACTACACCCACACACTGACACTATCAGTTTGTCCTCCATTTTAGACACCAGTCTGTTTTCATTGTCACCAAGCAACCTTTGTGCTAAGCAGTTATCACAAGACATGTTGAGATTCGTGTCATTCGCGCCGCCAGAGTAGTATGAGCGTCTAATCGCGTCTTTGCATTGACTTTACATGTAATTCATTCGCGCGAATGATTTTACTTCCGCTTGGTGTGTGGAGACAGTTACGATTGGTTTGTTGCAATGGTAAACCAGCTGCATCAAAATCACCATCTGAGTTTTTTTAACATTGTGTCTTCGTCAGCGCCCAAATGGATAGACGGATTTGTGGATATGTGAGATAGTCTATCTGGCGTGTTCGCGGTGGGAAGTTCGGGAACATCATCGTGAGTCTGACTCCTTAAAACTTTCCCTCTGTTATTCCTCCTTCCTGTGATAGAAGAGACGCCGTTTTGATGCTTTTCTCCCAAAATTGCGGCGGACAGAGGTGGCGGCTGCTGCTCGGTTGGTCACTCTCAGAAATTGGGAACAGGTTGTCATGGATACAGCTTTACTGGACGAGTCAATTTCTCATCCCTTTGTTCTTCAGCGGTTGTGTGTTTGTCTTTGTGGGAACC